TTAACATCAGGGATACATATCCAGAAATGTAATTACCTGTCTCTCAATTATAGTCACTGTTTTTCCTTCTTTCCTTTTTGCTCAGCTTCCAGGAGACATCCCCTCTTCCCAAAAATGCCACCCATCTAATCAAAGATGTAAGGGTCAGTCTCCTTAGGGAGGTTGGGTCTGGGGTGGAACAACACACACTTCCGTTGCAGTCGTATTAAGTGGGAATGGGGACGAGGAAGGGAAATCAGGATTCACCACACCCCCCCTTTAACGAATTTTCACAACAAGTCCCAGTCAGCCTAGTTTAGTGACTATATCCATCTACCATCTGCCATCCATCCTCCATCATCCATCTATCCTCCATCATCCATCCATCCATCCATCCATCCATCCATCCATCCATCCATCCTCCCTCTATCTTTCAACAAATATTCACTGAACATCTATCATGTCAGGTTATACTATTGTGCTAAAACAGTCCTCCCAGTACTTAATCTGGTGGAGAAGAGAGAAGGTAGTAAATACTTCCAAGTAATGGCGCAGATATTAAGAAGACATCTGATGGGTCCCATGAGAGCTAACTGTAGATCTCACCTGGTCAGGGAAGTAGGGGTCTTCCCTGGGGAGACTGCCTTGGGGTTGGGGAGCAGAAATTCCCTCTTTTCCCATTCATAGTTCTGTATACAGGACCCTGTTAGGGGCTCTATCTTGGGCTTGAGGTTGATTGTGGATTACAGGGGTAGCATGGTCTGACCTTTGGGGCTGATGCACTCAGGGATGTACAGGGATGTACAAAGTTACCCTTATCACCTGGGAGAGGTGACACCAGCTGCAGACAGAGCAGGGAGTGTTCTCAAGCTGGCTCTGCCATTTATCAGGCAGAGATTGACTTTGCAGCATCTTCCCTCTTTCTGAGCATCAGTTTCTTCTAATAGGCAGTGTTGAGGGGAGCATCTGTCCTGCTTTCTGCAGCCAGTTATGGTGATGAGATGAATTAATATTGTGAAAATCGCCACATGACTGCAAGTGAGAGCCAGGTCATCAATAAATGGTGCCAATTGCTCCTTGGATCCCGTGTCCCTACACTCTGAGGGGAGGTCTAATTCCATTTGGAGAACGTGTCCCTTTTCTCCTGAGTGGCTAATGATTTGGGAACCCCAAGGGTGGACTCTTGGGTGCTGATGAGCTGCCATGGTGATAAGTCCCCTGGGCTAGAAGCTCTGTGACTCCTGTGTGTGTTCTGAGCGCTTCTCATTTCAGGATTCCAGAAAGGATCTCTTCCTTTGCAAGAAGTTCAGGAACCCAGGGGCCATACAGTGGTAGAAATGGGGCCCAAAGTGGGCCCCAGTTACCCCTTTATTTGCAGGTGTTGCATAAGGAGCTTTATGGTCAGGATGCATATTTGCCTAGGGCTGGTCCCTTGGCAAGTAAACACCATTTGCCTTGGGCTCCCTTTCACTTTGGAGCCCACTTTCACTTCTTTGGAATTCTGTTCCAGTTCCTATTCCTCTTCAGCTTTCCCTACACAGCTGTGATGTTAGGCTTTCTCTGCTTTTCAGAAATCTCCATGGCCTGTATCAAGTCAGCCCAGACTATTTCTCAACAGGACTTTCTGTGATGATAAAACTGTGTTATGTCTGCTCTATTATGGCAGCTATTAGCATATGTGACTATTGAACATTACAAATGTGGGCACTGTGATTGAGGAAATAAATTTTAACATTTTTATTTATACATATATATATTTTAAAGATTTATTTATTTATGCATACAGGATATGGGGTGCAGGCCCATGTGGCCCCCTTCATGTGGGGGATGAGGGACTCACCAGAGAAGAGTGGGGAGCAGAACAGGCGGATTGACTGAAATACACTGCTGAGGGGAGCAGCAGGAGAGATAGGAGAGGTCTTCTGCACCATGTGTGCACCAGCACTAGCTCCCTGGCTGGCAGGGGATTGAACTCATGCTGCAGCGACTGCAGATAGCTTCACAGTGCTGTGCCTAACCCCCTGCACCACCAGGGAGGCCCTTAACATTTTTAATTTCACTGAATTTACATTTAAATTGTGACATGTGGCTGGAGGCAAGTGTCTGGGGCAGTGCTGACCTGGATATCGATACTGCAATCATTTCGGTTGCCCTGCCACAGTTAAAATTACTATGTCCTGTGTCACAATTCCAAGGTTCTCTTAGAGAAGTACCAAGTTGTTAATCTGATAACCAAATTCCTATCCATAAATGAAAGTCTCTACTCCTCTTAGGTAAGCGCATAGGTTTGAAGAAATGCTGTACTTCAGTCAGAACAGCGACTCAAATGACAGAGATTTGAAGCACTCGGACAGGGGAGCACAGGGGGTGAAATGATTATGGGCAGAGTTTTAGTCTCATTCAAAACCCCCTCTTTGGAGGGTCCCTCCTGCCTAGTGTCCTGGGTGGCTGTTACCCTCTTGCAGTGGGGAGAAGGAAGGTCAGCGATGTGCAGATGGGAGCTGTGGAAGGGATGAAGGGTTGGGATGAACAGAGCCTAAAGGATGCCAATCTCTTGCAAAAGAACCTGGCGTGCCTGTCAGAGTGACATTCTGTTTACAGGGCAGGAGGTGGCAGAGGAGGTTGTTAGGGAGTGATGTTTGCCACTAGGACAGCATTGAAGGGTTAACAGTTCAGTCAGAAGCTCAGAAACCAGATCGAAACTACAGAGTGGAAGGTGGCACTTGCCTCAGAGCTTGGACAGATACTGCAATTCTATTTGTCATTCTAATGTCCCGTTTTAGAAATACTTCTCTTTGCTTTGAATTCTTCATGAACTTTGCTTTCTGAAAGTTCTTTTCATTCGCAAATCAAGCTGCCTTTCTGTTTCTCTTGGATGACCATGTAATTGCTTTCAAGTTCTTGCTTGTGTTTTCACAGCAAGAAGCTGGCATCAGAAGCAGCCTGTCAAACTGAACACTAGGTTGGGGGAAGGGTGCAGGGCAATGGGGGGTGGACTCAGGGGAAGGACAGCGACCCGTAGAGCAAAGAGACATGCTTGGAGATAGCAGGAGGAGCCTCTGTCAACCCTGGTGCTTTGGGATTTACTCTCCAGAACTCAGGTTGCCCATTGCCCCCACCAGTAAATCTGCTTTGAGGACTAGAAAGTGCATTTTTAGTTAAGCCACTAGCTGGAATGCATGCCTATTTGCTTAAAAAGCATCACACTTTATGAAGCAAATTGGAGACTGAGTCTCAAATCTTTCCTGTAATAAAGTGGTCTATAAATGAGTGTATCTATTAATAACAATGATAATTATGATAATAATAATAATAAATAATAATAATAATAATAATAATAAAGCAGCCAACCCCCCTGGTGCTTTGCAATGCAGTTGCGAGTCACTAATGCTTTTCTTTGACTTCACAAAGACTACACACAGTACTCAGAGCTACCCTGTTCTCTTGTTTACCTTTTACTCAAACAAATCTTAGGCTGCCCTGGGCTTTAAGAGGCAGAGCCCAGAAAGGAGAAACAAACTCAGAGAAGTCAATTGTGTGGCTGGGTTGGCCTGTTGCAATATTTCCAAACACTCCCGGGCAGGGCGAGCAGGCGATGACTTACAGCGTCTGCTGGGCAAGCACTTGCTAATGTTTAATCACAGCATTATCAATTTCGGTCCATTTGCAGGAAAACCAAAAGTTCTTTCTGGACTGAGGTAACTTAGAGCAGGGCTGTATCACACCCCAACCCCTCCCCAACCAGGGACTATTTGGCAATATCTGAAAACATTATTGTTACTACTAGGGGGGAATTTTTTGCTCCTTGGAATCTTGAGCAATGTCTGGAGACATTGCTGGCTGTTAAGCGCGGACTGGGGGTAGTGTCCTACTGGCACCTAGTGGGTAGAGACCAGAGATGCTGCTGTGCATCCTATGATGCACAGAGCAGCCCCACAACAAAGAATTATCTAGTCCACGATGTCAACAGCTCTAAAGCTGAGGAATTCTGGTGATCCAGGGAGCCCAGGGTTGAGTCCTACCACAGAAGTAGCAGAGGGTTCTCAAAGAACTATCACTTTTTCAATGTTGAAAGGCTGTGAAATATCCTGGGCTGGCCCTAGGAAGTCCCAGGGGTGATTTTGGTAGAATCCTTTTCTCCTCATGACCTAGTTTCAGTTTCATGTCTTTGAGTCACATCCTCTGAAAGAGAGGGCGTACATCCTCAGGGTCACCGATGTCAAGTTAGCCGCAGTGGGTATAGGCCACATTTTATTTTAATATAGAAATAAGTCATAAGACTTGATTTTCCATCTGTAAAATGCAGCCATAATATTCTGACCTATTAGCTGGATCTGGCTTCTTTGGGAGATGGATGGCAGCATGGTATGTGAGTTGACGTGAAGGGGGAAATGGAAGTTAAGTACTTCTATTCAACTTCAGCTCCAAAATGGCAATGAGATAATGTAGGTGGGGAGAAGCAGCTTCTGAGATCCAAGCCAGTACACTGTGACTGGGTGCAGTGGGTCAAGGCACCATGGAATGGTTTTCCTTGTCCATGGCACAGGGGGAGATTAGAGCCAGTCATATATGAGTTTTTCCATGAAGTCTGTCAGTGGGTCAGGAGGCAGGAGACCCACAGAAGTGACGATATTAGGGGCAGAGGAGGCACAGAAAATTGTGGCAAAAAGTTGTGTAAAGATGCTTGGGAATATAAAAGCAACCCCCTTTTTTTTTTGTCTACTTTTTTTGTTAAAACCTCTCAAGTACAGAAAAATGTAAGGAGAAAATAAAAATACCCCATAATTGCACAACGAGGAAATATCAACCTTTAATGGTTTTGGTATTTTCTTTGAGAAAAACAGAGATGGGTTTTCTGAGGAGAACAGTCTGGGAGATTGAAAGAGACCATGTGGAGGTTGTGAATTATTCTCTGTGCAGATAATTGCGTCCCTGACCTTGCTTGGAGGACACAGAATATGACACAACTGTCCTACTGTGTGACAGAGTGTGACAGAGGGCACGTGATCAAGTCCCCTTACCTTCAGGGTTCCTGTGGAAAGCATCTTTAGTGTTTGCCTCCATGAATAGAAGAGTTCTTCAGCTGAAAGAGGAAATGACTCATTTTAGCTCAAAGATAACAGAACAGGAGATGCCACTTCTGACTCATTTTGCAGCACTAGCATGACTGAGAATCACTGCACTTCAGTGACAGGTAGAAGACAGCTTTTTCTTCTTTTTTTTTTTTTTTTAATGAAGTAACACCGAAATACAGCATTCTAGAAGTTTCAGGGGTGCATCTTTAAAAACCAGTGCGTGGCTATGATGCACTACACACAGTTCACTGCAAATAGTGCAAGTGCAGCCTTCGTTATACAATGGTTTCCTTTCACCCGATTTGTCTGTTCCTTCTCCTCTTTCCCCTCTGGCAGCCACTGACTGGCCTTATAGTCTAAACGTTTATTTTTGTTTTGTTTAGTTCCTCCATGTGTTTGTTTTCTCATTTATGCCACGCAGAAGTGAAACCATGCAGTGTTTATTTTAAACTTATAGGAAATTTACAAAAATAGTAAAAAATGATAAATCCCATATGCTTTCACTCAGATACCCTAATAGGTGGTGAATACCCTAATGTGTGGTTAGTATTTTACCACTTTTGGTTGATCATTCTTTTCTCTATGCACAGATTACTATTTTTTGAGTCACTTGAGAAGAAGTTGCAGGTGCAGTTGAAGATGCCTCTCAACCCCGAAATATTTCAGATTGTTTTCCTATGAACAAGGACATTCGCTGATGTAATTACACTATAATGCTTAAAGTCAGAAGAATAACATTGATAGGGCACGGTTATCTCCGTGATCTGGTTTTCACATCTTAGGCAAGCATGCCCTGTCATCCTAATGGGGATTAGATTTTCTGAAATCTGGCTCTGGGAACTTGAATGCAATTCATTGATAAATCCTGTCTTGACCATGGCAACTCAATGTGGAGCTTTGTGTTTGATTCCATCTTGTGGGCACACTCAAGCCTTGCCAGAGATGGCTTTCTGAAGACCAAATAATCTTGTGAGGAAGGAATTGTTCATTAACCTCATATTGATGGGGCTATACCCATTAGGACTGGTGATTCCCATTCAGTCTGGCTCTAGGTTTTAGATAAGACATTTTAAACTCTGAGGACTGACTGGTGCAGGTCCTTGAGACATGAAGTGACAGTTGCTAGTAGGATTAGAACAAAAATGATTTCCCCACTTAAGCATGAAACAGGCCACATTTGTCTGCAGCTACAGTTTTAAATTTGCTTTGATATATGGACAGCGATTCTTCGGTGTCCAATTTTGTTTTGCACATTACATGCAAAACCAAATAATTTATCTAGAGTGGCAGATTTAACAGTGCTTTCAAATAGTATCAATGACTTCAAAATCCAGAATCCTAAGGCTTATGGCTTGAAGAATTGAGGGCTGGATATTTTCTTATTCTGATGGAAGAGGAAGTGACAGGCAGGAAGCTGTGAACACCTGTCAGTGATGTCATGCCATTGAGAACATCTTTCTAATACACCCCACTTTCTCAACATGACCACTACTGGCATAATGAATGGAAGACCAGACACCTTTGCAATAAAAAGCTCTGATGTGAGGGCAGTCATTTGGGCATAAAATAGCCAGCCCCAAGGCATTTGGTAATGAGCTGTCTGGTGAATCTGGAGCTTATAACACAAATGTCTGGGGCAGCTTTCTCAGAAGCCAGCAATTTTCCTCCATAGGTTGCAGTGAAGCTGAATTTTTCATTTTGAAAACGTCGAACATTCTAGAATTCATTTTAGATTCTAGGAATCATTTCAGGACTTCAAGCACTCTCTTTGATAATGTCCTAACTCTGTTTAGAACAATTCCTGCTCTGCTTTATTTACTTCTCAAATAAAATCCAGACTCTTTTTATATTCCTGTGGGAAACCCTGAGGGCTCAGCAGAAACCAGGAAAGGATGTGGAGGGCTTGGAGCTCAGGAGGAAGGCTGTGTTGGGGTTGAAAATTCTGGAACAATGCGGACATTGAAGGAGACCACTCGTTTCTGCAGTCCACCTTACACGTACTGAGCACCAGGCCTTGGGCTCACTTCATTCATTCATCTGTTTATTGACTTGGCATTTGAAAATTGCCTGATACACTGTTTAACCCTTGTCATTCTATGGCCCAAATCTCACTCATATACTTATTCTTCCCAGTACCCTGTGGAGCTGACTCCAATGGCTCTCTTGTTCTCCAGCTTCAGGTTGAGTTCCACCCCTAGCCCCAAGTAGATGGGAGAAGAGCACATAGGGGTGTCTTTTTCCCTCCCTCTTGGCTTCTTCCTGACTTGCTGCTAACAGTGGCTGTGTCTCCACTGCAATAGTCCCAGCTATCACTGGGCCGCAGCAAACTCCCTCCTTCTCCATATTCCCCTTTTGCAGCAAAGGTGGTGACAAATCTCTATGTTAGTTCTCTCCACCCTCCCACATGTATGTAAAGTATCTGTCAGTTCTCTTAAAGTCCTACCTGAGTATGCCATCTTTTTCCTGCCTGACCTTGACTGACACAATCCTTGAATATATGCTGAATTGCTTTCTGATTGCTTCAGAAAGGCTGGAAAGAAGTAAAGTTTCTAACACTAAGTTACTCTAATACATGATTTAACAGAAGTTTCTGGGGAAAAAAGGTCTCAAAGATTTAGTCACCTATACCTTCCTGAACTGTGTCTCAGAAAAAGACTGAAGTGGATCTTGGGCCACATAATAGTAAGCATGAAGTCCAGAGCAAGGGAGGTGAAAATGGTGCTTAATCCTACCTCTATTAACTCCTACTTAGAGTTCTAGGCACAACTGTGGGCTTCCCTTTAAAAGGAGACATGTAAGCTGTCTTTAAGTGTTTGAAGTTCTTAACATATAGCAAAGATCAAAAGGCTTTTTCTTCAGGGACCAAATAGTAAATATTTTTTGGTGTGTGGTCTAGTCCATATATTGAAACTACTCTGAAAAACAACTACAGATAATATGTAAATGAATAGGCTTGACTGCGCACCAATAAAACTTTATTTACAAAAATAAATTGTGGGCTGGGTTTGGTCTGCAGGTCTTACTTTGCTGACTTCTGACATAAAGGGAAAAAAAGGATTTATCTTGAGTATGTCCAGAAGGCAGGACTTGATCAATGTGCAAAAATCATGGGGAGGAAGAGTTGTGTTAGTTTTAAGGATGATCTTTCCAAAGGTGATTACTGTTCTCAAACAGAATGAGCTATTTTATGAGGGAGTGTTTTTTTTTTATTATTATTTTTTTAAGTGTTCAAGGAAAGACTGCTGTAGAATAATTTTTGGCAATGCACGGAGAGTAAATTAGACCATGTGGGAGGTAATAATGACTCCAACTTAATGTATACTCAGCATAGTACTGCACGCATAGTGAATAGTCTAGATTCTGTGTTTCTCGGGTAGAGGGACTGTCTCCTAAAAGTCTATATAGTGCTTTAATCATGGTAGATGTGACCAATAATGCTTTGTCAATTTGACTCTGTAAAATCTTGCTGAAAGATTTACTAGCCTATTTTTTCTCTAGTATAGTGATCATACTAATCATATTAAGCAAATTACTTCTAAATAACCTTCAGTATTTGAGGATTTTCACTGAAAAAATGGACATAATAGACAACATTGACCAAATTCTAAAAATATTCTGGCAACAACAAATATTCTGGTAACATAAGTACTATACTTATGTTATTTTATTTAATTTTCCCTCCAAAAACTCTTAGATAACCACTTGTATTGTCTCCATTTTATTGATGAAGAAGTTGAAGGTCAAAGCAGTTTCATGGCTGGGAAGTAACATACTCAAAATTCAAATTGGGATCTCTTGATGCCAAAGACTATGGTTCAACAACAACTCCATCCCGCTTCTCATTCCTTCCTTCTTCAGTATCATTAAATACTAATTGGGTTCCTGCTATTTCCAAGCACTATTTTAGATTTTAGGCTGAAGATTGAGTGATTACAAACAGATCAAGTTCATGCTCTGAATGAACTTACATTCTGGGTGGCACACAGTGGAGGAGGTAAACACACCATTAACAAATGAGAAGATATTAAAAGGTAATTCATCACAAGACACAGAAATTAGAAAGATCATAAATAGCTATTGTCCATGTCCAAGCTTCAGGTGTAGTGATAACTAAGGAATTGCCTATGCTTTTTCTTGTTTACCAACATTAGCCCAAGTTTAGTCTTTAGCCCTGACAAATTGTCAGCTATGTCCAGAAATTCAGAAGGAAGCTTCGTGCATTCTGGCAATTGATACAGATCACTATGGCAACTTGTAGCTGGATGTGAGAAGTCCTTGAAGGGAAAATCACCCCATAAAGCATTCAGGAATCATTCTTGATGGGCAGGTCAAATGTGAGCATCATCAAACTGGGAGACCAGAGGCAACAGATGGGAAGGGGAGGAAATAGGCAGTTCAGTTGACACAAAAACTAAAGGAGAGGAAATTACTCTTGGCAATACTCCAGTTCCCCCTTTCCTGTTACACCAAAACATGAAAAGCCTAAGTTCTATCTCCTGATCCCAAGTGTCAAAAAAAAAATCCTTATTTATAACAAATGCCATAGAGAGTTTCTGACCCCTGACAAGGCAGAGGCAAACACAGCTACTTGAGTCAAGGGAATGAACATTGTTTAGAAGGAGTGGCGCTACTATAGTACCCAGGAGTGGAAGGAATCAAAGGAATATTCCAGAACCTTGATTGAAATTGAGACTATGAGACAGAACAACAGCACTACGGGTCAAACAAGGTAAACCAAATGAATTGTCAGGTTCAACAGGCAAGTGTTGACTGGGAATTGGAGACAGAGCCCAGAACATACACAAAACCAGGGAAGACATGAAATAACCCAGTATCTTGTTTTGTCTTTTTGGGTGCCAGCTGTAAGGGGTGGCTACGCTAAAGGCACAGGATAGGAACTGACCAAAAAAAAAAGTCCCTCTGCCTATGTCCACTGCTTATAGTAGTGATGCTTCAGCAATTCTAGAATTCTTTTCATTAAAAGATTGCAAAGTGATTTTCAGACTAG